CAACTTGGGATAAAAAGATGACTCCCATCCTTTTGTACCAGTTGTGAATATTTTGGTGTCACTCAGCTATTTTATTACTCCAGCATCCACTTCCTTGAATCATCTATAATAAATGTTCTTTATTCGTTGTTGCTCTGATGTGGGATTTTTATGAGCGTTACACTTTCATAATGGCTTGCACCTAAGAAATATTCCTATTCAGGTATAATAGCAAGCAAGATACTGCAAGCAGATGGGTAGGAACGTTAGTAGAATAACTACATGGGAACTGGAAAAAAAAAGAATCCGGGGGAAAAAAAACCACAGAGAGAATTGAAAGTGCAAAGAAGGGAAGAAAAACTGGAGAAGCGAATTGCTTCCTCAATTCTGTCTGTCATCTGCTGAACAACGGAGGAGATTGAAAAAGAACAACGCAGTTTCTGTAGGGAGCTAATTTGTGTGATTATAGGCAGGAGATTTTTGGGAATGTGGGCATTTGGCTCGGTGTGCACAATTAAAAGTTGGCCAGCTCGGGGCACTATTGTTCCAGGATAGATAAAGAACTGTGCCTTGGATGCATTTCTAGAGTTCCATTAAGTTTGTTTCTACTATATAAACCCAGTGAGTTTAGAAGAGGCTTCTTCTTGTTCTCCTTTTCATGTCTCTATCGTTTCCGAAGACAGGGGACAGATTCTCAGAATGAATTGGTTACAGAATCCCTCCTGATCAAAAACTAGTTTTCTTTATGCTTGAATTGTCTGGCTTTCCAAAGCGTTCCGTTCACCAGCAGTAGTTTATACAGTATTCACAAATGTACTCTTCTCTGATGATTGCCTGTACTAACCTGGGTATATATCAAACCACATCTTTATTGCAACCAGAGACCAGCCTAAACCTGGGCACATAAGCAGAGGAAAATCAGGAGGAGGCTTTAGTAGCACCTTTCCCATCCAACCCGTTTTAGTAGAAGGCATTGGGGTTTTTAGGAGCTGCAGCTTGCTCCGTCACGTGCCTGAAACGGCTGAATTGATAGAGGATTCAAAATGGGATTTATAAACCGGATTATTTCGTCGTTCCAAAACAGCTTTTAAAAAATCCGTAATGGGAGTGCCTTGGGAAGATTAGCGTGCTCCGATATTTTTCTGTCCTTTTGAGACCGAAACTCTTCGCATGCTTCCTGAATAATGGGGGTGTTTATGTGTCCATTGTGCAATGTTATCATGACACTGAGGGAATTGACTTGTGCTATGGATAGGAAGGCTAAGGTTGAGGGTGGGTGGAAGGGATTGAGGTCTCGATGGGATCTGATGAGTCTTTCCCCATGGATCTCATTGATGGGAGTATCACCAACAAAGCCCGATTAAAGGAAGGATTTCCAGACTTAGGAGGCCAGCCGCGAAGATACCGGCACCCCTTGAAATCATGTGTGCAACCCTATTTATAGGTAAAACCCACCTCCTTGGTGTCACGGTGAAACTATAACGTACACACAAACAACAATGTTTTACAGAGAACCTACAGATCACCATGGATACTCTACACCCGCGCTTCCAGATTCTACCCAGAATGCATCACACCAAATCAATTTCCCATGTTTTTTTTAACTCTATGCGCTGACCCATTTGAGAAAGAGATGCTCAACTGATGGAATTAATCCAGGCAGTCAGGAGACTGAACCACCCGCCCAACTAGATCAATAGAAGCAAATTGATTCCTAGGGAGAACCTATTAAAAAAAAAACCCAGAACAACAGAACACTCTTGGCTGTTATCTACATCTTACAGCTCGAGCCACTCAAAGCGGTTATTAATCAGCTACAAACCAGGCTGGATAGGGGGGAAGCTGCACTTTACCTGGGTGGTAGGACTCAATTTGCATGCCGAACCCAACCTGGAACGAGATTCTCATAAGCAACCCCAGAAGAACGATGCTACTATAGGAACCAACCTAAACGGTGTGTGTGTGTGTGTGTGTGTGTGTTCCTATTTAACTCTCACCTTTACAGAAAGCACCACCACAGGCCTCTCTGGAGACTAGAGATTTTTTCCACGATTCTCCCTCCAGTGAGGTTCACATCATAACCCGACAGCCGTGGCTCCCCAAATCCCACATGGGGCGCATGTGTGCGAAGCAATCGAGGGAGAGAGGTTTGGCATCAGGATTCGAAACAAGGACAGAAGAACACCAGGGCTCGACCCACTAGAGATTATGAAGTACAGACTGACAACAGCTCATTTAGTGACCATTTGAAGGTACAACGGGACTGGAAAAATGGTCATTAGGACTGTTTTTCACACATACGACCGTTGCAGCATCCCCCCAGGGTCACGTGATTTGCACTCAGATGCTTTACAACTGGCCCATCTTTATGACGATTATAGTGTCCTGGGATCACATGATCTCGTGACGTTTTGACAAGCAAAATCAATGGCGGAAGCCAGATTCATTTAACAACCGTGGTTACTCACTTAACAAACATGGCAAGGAAAGTCGTAAAACAGGGCAAAACTCACTTAACAAATATCTCAGCAGCATTAATTCTGGGCTCCATTGTGGTTGTAAGTCAAGGACTACCTATATGAGCTGCTTGGGACGAAGAAATTTGACTCGCCCAACTGAGCAAGGGTTTTGCTGAAGGTAGAAGATGACAGGCTGTCTCAGAAGGATTTGACAAACACAAGGGAGAGTTTTCCCCACATTACGATTGTTAAATACTTGGATCGTCCCATGTCAACTGCACAGCTCCCCTTCTATCCCACTCGTCCCACTTTAGAGCAGCTTTCAGTTACTCCGTGCATCAGATGAAAGGAGATGCCGTTTGCAAAAGCTTCATCAAATGTGCTAATATTAAAAGGGGCTGCTAGATCAGATCTTAAGACTCTCAGACTGCCAGGCATCTCTCCCTATAACAGGGGTGTCAAACTCAAGCCCCGGGGGCCGGATCTGGCCCACGGGGCCACCCTGGAAACAGCAAAGGACAGGCCCTCCCGGGCTTCATTTTTGCCCACGACCGCCTCCTGCAGCCCCCTGCCAGGAAAATGGAGCTCCGCTGTGACTGGCAGAGGGCTGCAGGAGGCCGTCGTGCTAAAAATGAGGCCTGGGAGGGCCACTTCCCGAGCTCCGTTTTCACTGGCAGAGCCACCCGCGCAGGCCAGTCCATGGGCCAGATCTAGCCACCCTGCGGGCTGGGTCCGTTTTCACTGGCAGAGGGCTGCAGGAGGCCATCATGGCCAAACATGGAGATCGGGAGCCCGTTTTCGCCGGCAGAGTGCTCGGGCCACCACAGGCGCCCCCCCCCCCAATACAAGCGACGTCACGCTGGCCACACCCACCCCATCCCCCGAGGTCAAACACACCCTGATGCGGCCCTCAATGAAATCGAGTTTGGCATCCCTGTCCTATAATATCAGATGGGGAAATATCACATAGGAGCCAAAAATATAGACCAAAGCACAGGCATTGGATGAAAGGGCCCAATCAAAATAGACACCGGAACCCCCCTGAATTCCTACTGAAAGTTCTGCACTCAGCAAAGCCACCAGGGGAACCGGAAGCTATTCAGGTGGCAACGATTAACCAAATCAGGCAGAAATTGAGACAAAGGCCAGGCAGGCTATCTGCTTGAACCACCAAAGGGGAAGAAATGGCCCCAAAGCTTTCCTTTCTGCCATTTTGGTCTTCTGCATTTGATCACAGGATTTGGCAGAAATATTTGTACGGCCCCCTCCAGAAAGACAATCAAGGAAATTCAGGGGTACCTTGCTCTCTTGGGAGGGAATTGGCGATTTTAATTTTTGGATAACCTCCCAGGGCAGAAGGTCTGTTGGCCTGCAGTGGGCTTTTCCTTGAGCCAGTTCTTTGTGTGCCCCGGATCGATGAACCAGACATTTAAAAACAAAACACTGCATCCTTCCGAGGGTACGCTTAAAACAGACGGCTGCGCATCGTTAGAACAAGGGTCTTGGTCTATTCATCTCCAAGCCCATTCCTCATTTCATCCTCTTTCCAACTTTCACTCTGCTTCGGCAGTGGATATGATTAAGCTTCTGTTAAGCAGCCGCCAAGTCCAAACCCTCCGTTAACGCAATGCGCACCAGCCAGAGGTAGGTACATCAGTGGTGCAGATTTTCCTTTGGCTTGGCTTATGAAGAAATAAAGAGATGGGAGGGGAGGGGCAACTTACGATGTACCCAGGGGAGTTAAGTCACCGGAAAACAAAGATGGCTGCTGTTAGTACACATTGGATAAGGAAAGCGCATAGCTCTGCACTCTTGGTGTTTATAAAGAACATTCAAAAGCACAGAAGCCGGAGAAACCAGATGGCAAACTGCTTTTTCTTGTCTTTCGGGTTCTTTGACACCAGTGCACATGTATATATATGCCTTCTCTGAGGTCTTTTATTCACCTTTGCATGCTCCTCCTTGGGCATCACCTTCAACCAGACTTTTGGAAGGTAGCAAGGGAAAACAGGCCCCTTTATTTATGGTCCCCCCCCCCCCACATTACTTCAGAATGCTGCAACTCTACTAATAAATAAGGACATTGAGGATTTGAAAAACCACTGATTTTTCAAGCCCTTTTTACCTTTTATTAAATTTCTAACCGCCATCTTACCTAGAAGACTCTCACGAGTAATCTTCTATGGGGTTTTTTTAATCACATTTTTTAATATTTTGGGGTGCAAGTCCAACCAAGTGTAAAAAACTTTCCCCAATGAACTTGGAACTAGCCTTCTGGCTGGCATAGTAAAATCAAATAATGAATAAACACAAGAAGCCTGTAATTCTATCCTAGTCTGATAATACTAGAAATTATCCTCGCAGCAGAAAAGGATACGGTTACACAGCCTATCCCTCTACACACACACACACACGCACGCACACACACACACAGCCAGAAGCTTCAGGCGGAATTCTGCCTCAAAGTCCAGCTTCAAAGGTCAAAATCCACTCACAAAAGACAGAAATCCTCATACGGTTTTCCTGTGAAAAAAGCGCCTGGGCCCAAGGGCTAACACTCACCGGGATGTGCCATGTGGATGGTATTGTTGCCGTGCCTTGCGTGGTTATAGATGACCACGGCCGCCGCGCCCAGTCTAGCCGCCCGCTTAATCTTCTCCGTGAAGGTGCAGTTGCCTCTTGCGACGAGGGCAATCCAGGGTGACACCGCGGGGGCAAAATGCGTGTCCCACGTGCAAGCTTGGAGTTTGGACGAATTGGAAACCACCACCAGCCCTCGAGCCTCCGCCACGGGAGACTGCACGCCGAACATGCCGCACTCGCACCTGTTGTTGGTCGAGCTCTGGTTGAAAGCGTTAAAGTAGACCAAACTCACGTTGGCTTTGATGGGGAGAGCCCGGACGGCGCTGAAGAGGCCGGCAAGGATCAGAAATCGTGCAGGGCTGGGTTTCTGCCTGCCCTTCATTGCTCGGTGGCTTCAAAAATAAGACCCACAAGGTGTTGAAAAGCATCCGTTTTTCCTCCGCGTTTAATCTGAAATTACAATCCTTCGGCCGGTAAGCAACACTGCTCCTCCCTGGTCGTTAGAGCTCGCGTTGCGTCAGCTCCCTTCTCACTTTGCTTATCTCAGGGGAATAAAAGGAGCTGATGCCGGAGCCACAGGGCAGGAACTCAGGCAGCTAATGCTCACTCGCAACCCTCTCGTTTCCACACAACTGCTTCCAAAGCAGACAGGCCGGCTGAAGGGCTCCGGGCAGGTTTTGAGCGCCCCTCCCTACACACACAGACACAGGTGAGACGGGGCCGCCTTTAGGAAAAAAGAGAAAAGTGCTTACTCTGCAAGGTGATATGTTCCGCTCTAAATAAACATGGGGGAATTTGAGGTGAAAAGAGCCAATCCTAATTATTCCGGTAGACTTCATCTAAGTTTATTTATCTTCCAGTCTTTGTTGACTTCCAGCGGCTGCCTGGAGTGGTCCCTGCAGTCTTGTTGGCTGCAAGATTTTGGAAGCGGTTTGCCTCCTTCCTAGAGCTGAGAAGGTTCGACTTGGCCCAAGGTCACCCAGCTGGCTTTGTGCCTAAAGCAGGACTAGAATTCCCAGTCTCCCGTTTCTCTTAATATGTAACATCACTTTTATTTTAAAGCACTTTTTAAGCGAAACTTCGCTTCAAATGAATGTTATAAAAATACACAGAGTTTGGACGTATCTCACTGATTTTTGGTGGGTCTACTTTTTTTTTTTTTAACCCGGGTTTGAACACAAATAACATGCTGGCTCTATCAATCTTTTGCGACTTAATTTTCTAATACTGGTTGTAATCATCACCACTTTTGGCAAATCCTCTTCCCCCACTACCCACCCATGTTGTGAAATAATAGTAGGAATAAGAGAAACCCTTTGAACCAAGAAGTGTATATAAATTTCTTCCAACTGCAAGCAATGCATTAGTACGTCTTCTGGCACTATATACTATTACGCACCTGATAGCATTTTTATTCTTTCTTTCGGTATAAAATTTTTCAGACAACACCTTAAAATCAATATATTCAAACAGAAGCCAACCGCAGAACATTATAATTGTTATATATAAAAAAAATCCAAACCCTAGAAAAAGGAAACGGACTTTGGCACCAAAAGGACCAGGGAGGGCATTTGTCAAACCTCACATTTCTTGATAGAAAGGGGTGGCTGGTTGTTGTTTCAGTCTGGGGAAGGAAAGACAGCAGCGAGAGGGGTGGTTTTCAGGACAAACCCGGCAGTTTCTCTGTGGCCAATACGTAGCTGCGGCATCAAAGCAACAGTGGAACGCAATATACAAAACAAGGACGGCTCGTTTCTTCCAAGTCACCCTAAAAGGCACGCACTCACACACGCTCAACCCCCCCCCCCTTTTCTGGCTGACTGGGCTGCTTCTGTACTCTGCCCGCTCTCAAACCACATGATCAGATTTTACCTCTTTGCCCTAGACCGGCCCTTCTGCACCCAATGCAGCAGTTCTACTTCACTTCCATTCCGTAACAAAACCCCAAAATTACGACTTCTGATTGGAGTGTTCCTCCCCCCCCCCCCCGGCTCATCATCTGCGGAAGAGGCCGCAACCGTATAATGATCAGCTGGCAATGTAATCATGATCCAGTTGACACAGCAAATCTAAGAGGCTTGATTACGGCACTGCAGCATTTGTGCAGGCTCCACACACAAGCTCAAAATACAAACCCTGTCCTGGTGGCTTCCCTTCCTCCTACATCCAAGCCTTCTGCAGACCGTTGATGAAAGACCATTTAACGGGGGGAACTTTTGAGGGAGACCACGCTGCTGCTGCTGCTGCTGGATTGCCCTATCCTAACTCAAGACCTTCACTCCCGGCGACAAACTTTTCCTAACCAGACCAAATTCCGTCACCTAGAAAGCAGAGATAAGAAGCAAAAGAGCCACAGTCTTCTCATGTACGATGTTCATTTACCATAGAACAGGATCTGACTATCGGATGCATTGGTGGCTTATCTTTTGCTACTTTAAACTTAAACAAAGGTTAAGAAAGCAATACGTGTGCAGTACTCGTTGCCAAAAAAACCTCTGATTTGAGAGGCAAGAATCTTATCAAAACACTTCTGCAAAATTTGAGTACGAAAGAACCCAAAACTTTCCTTAACCGCTCCTAAAATATCCAAATCGCGGAGAGCACAGCAGGAGAAAAACACTCTCTTCTTGGTTTACAAAACATTTATTTGTTTTTGGTTTACAACGTCAACTTCTGTTATCTTATATATTTTCCTAAGCAAGACTTCGGTTTGGTTGTTATCCAGAGAACAAACATCCAGGATGCAGACGACCCGTTGGTTCTCCAGGGCAGCAGCTTTGAGATCATCTAGTACACAAGCAGATAAGGGGCATGTTACACCTTCAGAAGAAGCAGCTACCTGTTCATCAGCTGACCTACGATTCATTCCAGAACGGTTAGGAGCAAGAACGGGGAAGGAAAATAATCCCACCCCCGGTAATGTGGCAAGCCAATTACAACAGAGAGAAAAACCTTGCCTAATATGCCAAGCAATCGCAGCTCCAGGTTACTTTTCAAACCCTGCGACAGCAAGAGTGTCGGCCAGTTTTGGTTTTAAACAAAACCAATACATGACCAGAGTTAAAAAGAGGGCAATGCTGTGCTTTACAATTTCTGAAGTTAAATGGTGAGTCCTGAAACGACCTACTCCGCTGCTAAAATCCACCGTTTTTATTTTAAAAGAGCATGTCAACTTCTTCCCTTTTGCAGAATTTGGCAGAGTTATTCTTGACATAGTTCCCTGTTTTTCAATATAAAAATCTATAGAAACAAACTGGCCCCTCAAAGATCTCTTCCTTGATCTTCCATTATCTGGAAGATAGAAATTCTTAACATAGCAGAGAGAAAGTTGGCATTGATAATTTGAAGAGGATAATTTGCAAGCAACCCACACTCTCAAGTTATAAATTCAAAGCTGAACTGAAGGCAAACCACCTGCGATGGAAATATCTTCTTAAATTCTTTGCAGCTGCCAGGATAAGTATTTTTAAAAACAGAAAAGGAAAAAAAAAGAGGAAGGGGGGAGTTTCAAAAGTATCATTACTTGGATAATAGTGCTGCTCCCTCTTCAGAAGAAAACGGATTGGTCCATCTAGATTTAAATGATTTTTAAGGCTAGGCGAGAACTAGTCAGCAAAACCCTCAATCTGGTTCTAAATAAAATTGCTTGGAAGACATATCTATGGTGGAGATTATTATGAATTGAGCTGTCAGATTCTTAATAATTAATTTGCAATTGCTTATTTTTAGAGAAGTGACAACAGCCATATACAAATCATTGTTATCTGGAAGATCCTACCTGGAAGTGACTCAAAAAGTCCTTCTTGGTTAATGGTCTCCTGGCAAGGCGTAGAACTGTTTCTGTGAGAAGGTGCTGCATTTTGTGGTGTCTCTTTGACTTGAAATAAGGAAGAGTCTTTCAGGAGGGCAACGTCTACAGCTGTTTCATTATTTACACCTGTACAAGAGATACGTTACTTTGGTTAATTCCAAAAAGCTGGGTTAATGAGCTATAAAAACCATCTTCAAGAATCTGGTCATCAAACAAAGCTTTTTAAGTCCAAGAATCAAGTCTTCATTTCCCAAAGCTGGAGACAATTGCCTGCCCAACCTTTTCTTGAAAGGATTTAGGAAAACACCTGCATTCCTAAATGGTTTGTTGTTGGGTTCATTTTTCCAAGGTTTCCTTCAAAAGGAAATCAATAATAACCAGTCCTAAGTCATGTTTCAAAATATGAGCATAACTCCATTAAACACAGACCATTCTTCACCCATGGGGTTTTTCATCATGTCTTCCTTTCAGACTACTACAGTACATTTTGAGCTGTTTCTATCATCGTATTTCTAAACTGAACCACATACAGTAAATTGACCAATCCTAAACCGATAATATTCCCCGTTTAGGGCAGATCAAGTATGGTGGTACAAATCCAGGAACGATTTGTTATGCTTTTAGCACCCTGAAAGTTTGGGTTTACTCTTGAAATTCCCTTGTTTCAAGGATAATGTATTTCACAGCAACTTTGGCCATATGGAAAAGGGTTTTTGGGGATCTGGCTGACCTCCTTTCCAGTTGCTCTAAAAATAAGTCCCATTCCTTCAGAGCAGCAAACATGAATTGTGCACCTTGTAGCACTTTTTTGTTGAGACAAAGCTCCACAAAATGTTCAATTTTCAAAGCGTGTCGAAGTCAGTAGTTACTTACCAAGAATAGTCACTTGATAATATTGGAGATGGTTACTTTTCAAGTGACTAATTTCTCCACTCGCCAGGCATTTTTCTGGCTGGAATTGGGCTGCTTGAAGGTTGTATTTTTTCAGCAGGGCTTCTTTGTGAGCATAATTAAATTTCCAAGGGAAGCTTTCTGGGAAAATCTTGCTGAAGTTCAAGTGCTGTGCTAATGTCTCTTTGACGGCGGTCCAGCGAACACTTTCCCAGGAACTGTGGCACATCCTTTGTGGGTGACCTTTTCCAGATCCATCAGCTATTTCTTTGTCACCTGCTAATATAAAGATAGTAATCTGTAATCCAGAAGATTTTAAATATCTTTGAGCACCTTTCCTTGACCAGGCAAGGCATTCAAAACAGCAAAGCAGATGAGCTTCTTCAGCCTACCTAAGGGGAGCGCCTGAGGACTCCTGAAACGGAGGTATATTCTAGAACTGAGACAAGGATTCTGGCCGATAGAAAGGCAAACCAGCCATAATCTCTCCAGAGCTGTGAACTAAAATCCATCCGCTTTCACGAAGAATAATGTTGCAAGATCCAATCTTGTTCGGTCGCCAGGACCAGAGGTTTAGTCTTCTGGTTTTTTTTATTCGCCCTGGAGCCCATCCTCAGGGAACTCCTCTCTACGGGAATATGTACTTTGGGCTATTCTATGTTTCCTATTTATATGGCACCTTCCCAGAGGTGGAATTCTGCCACTTTGGACCGGTTCACCAGAACAAGTAGGGTAAGTGAATACCACCCCTGCATCTTTCTATTGGTTGACTGGTGTGTTGATGGCCAGCGATTGGCTGGTGTTTCTGTACTTGTTAAACTGGTGATAAAGCAGCCCTCCTGTTGACTAACAAGAGGATTCTTTCCCCTGGTGAACCGAGCCAGGTTGGATCTTGCTTCATCAGCTTTGATCAAGTTTCACATCAACAAGCAGAAGGCCAAGAAAAATCCCCCAAAATAAAATAACCCAACTCTGCTTTCAAAGCCAATCCATGTTACGTGGGATTATCATCTGCAGCTGAGCCCTGAAGTGGCAACCGAGTGTGAGCAGAGACGTCTAGAAAAAGAATTTGTCTACCGATTTTTTTCATAACTTACTAGGAATTGTGAGCTTTTTTCCCTTCCTTTTGGAAGCCCTTGAATTCTTCTGTGGCATGCAGGATTATTTATTTGATTGATACGACCGGCCATTTTTTCTATAACGGGCATAATATGTAAGCTATTGGGTCATTTTAAATCATAGCTATACAACCTCCAAGATCTGGCACCCAATTATTGTTTGGTTTTTGCTTCTTCCCACAGGGAAGTCATAATTAACCATATTTAATTTTTCGCTAATTAATTCAAATTTGCTTTTCGTTCTCACTCTACTCACTACTTTTTAAAAATGAGGTCACAGGTGTTCTAAAATTTAACTGGAGCTGGGAAAAAGTTGCTCACCCCAATCTAAGAATATTTGCCAATCCAATCCCGATACTGCTTGAGTGAGTAACCTTTCTAGCTTTGTAATAAATTCAATATTTTTATATTCTAGGGCCACTGATATATAGAATAGTGTTAGTCCAAAAACTAAAAAGAGATAAGCACAAATGATAATTATAATAAATATAACCGCAAGAAGTACTAATGTAATAGATAAATGCAATAGAAATTAACTTTTTATTTTATGATATAGTCCTTCCATAAACAAGTTGCTTAATAGCTCCCGACAGAAATCTAAACACTAATAGGACAGGTCATTATTAAAGACTAAAGTACATACTACAATTGTATTAATAGATATTTTTTATGACTAGGAAAATAAATTATTTGATGGTTAATTGGATGTTTAATATGTTGTCTATTCTGCTTTAGATTATTTTTAGACGGCCTCTCATTCGCCTTTAATTTGTATAATAGAATTAACTCCAAACGGCAAAGGCCATGAGACTATGCCATCCAAAATGTTGCAAAAAATGAATAATGCAAAAAGCTGCACTAATGATTTCAATGAAGGCCTCAAACAACCGGCTTACGCGACTCTTTCAATGCAATTTGAAAGCAGGCATCCATTCAAGATGAACATCAGCAGCACTGCAGAAGACTTCAATTGTTGGGTAATACCAACTGCCAGGGCATCGGAGTTCTCCTCCTGATCCCCAGGAACCATTGACTTTAAAACAAAACCCTCTACAGCTTCATTTAGCTGTTTTGTACACTAGATCTGCATACCAGAATCAAACATGGCAAAATAACCAGTAAGGATCTGCAGCAGGGGTGTCAAACTCACCTTGTCACGGTAGCATCACATGACGTATCGGGACTTCCCCCCCTCTCGCTAAAGTGGGTGTGGGCAGCGGGTGGCGCATCCGTCTCCCGGGGCCAGGAGTTTGACAGCCCTGATCTACCAGATGCCTCCTAAAGAGCCCCACCCCACCCCAACCTTTCGAGCACCAGGAAGTGGTTCTGTGGAGACTGGAAGGGGGGTGGTTGCGTGTGCTGCCTTTCGTGCGGACCGGTTACTGGCACGCTGTGGTCCGGTGCTGTTCCAGGGACCGGGTGTGTGTGTGGGGGTTGGGGACCCCTGTCCTAAATAACATTGCTACATTCATAAGGTAGTAAAACCGTTGCACCTCATAAGGAGGAAATCAAACCGAAATTATTAAGCAAGGCTGACCTATTCTGGGCAATGTCTTTACTACTTCTCTTTCAATAAGCATCAAGGAGCTAAGCAACACGGAAAAATAAAATTTTACCTAGGCAACCATGTAAAAACCGTATATATTAACATATTAACAATAACATCAGAGATGGAGGAAGCATATTATTACTATTTGTTTTCCACCCTGGCTTACTGGAAGGTAAAAAGCTGTTACTAATATAACCTTCAGAGACATACATACTTTGGTGCGTCTGTGCTGTTTCCACCACTTCTGCATTGTCTTTGTTGGCGTCAGAATTACCTTGCTGAAAATTGGACAACCTTCAAAAATCCAAGCAGATGATCACTGAGAGCACCAAAATATCTTATCGTATTTTCCATAATTACGAATTTCAATTCATAGAACCTCAAGGTGATTAATCTTACGTTATGGGTGAAAAAGAAAATATGACAAAGCTGCTCTGTGTCTATAAATGATAAGCACCCGGGGGAGGGGATTCCCCATCCTTCCCATTTAATTTCCCTGCCCTTCTTCCCCTGCTCCCAAACTATTGTTAGAAGTCTGGCTGGGGAAAACCAGATCTCAGGTGAGTCACTAATAGCTATTGAGGAAAGTAGAGGGAAGCACCAGCATTTACTGCCAATTAGAACAGGCAAAAATGGTAAGAAAAATGGGATGACATTGTCACAGAAATACAACCCTTACTATTCTGACCCAGCTCCCCAACCGCGACGAACCTTCTGAAGTTAACCCAAAGATTCCGTTATTAAGAGTGCCAACGGTCCCAGGTAAAAGTTTCTCTCTCACCGCAGGCTCACAAGTCCCTACAGCCGGAAGATGAATGGTTCTCTGCCACATCTATTCATCTCCTCCCCCTGCCTTTGAGCCCCAGAGCTAGGGTGGGGCTTCGCTAGCAGCAGTGGCTCTTCCATCCCAAAGACTGGCCCATAGATTTCCACTGCTCTCCTATGCCTTCTGTGCATCCGTACATCAGGCACTGGGCCCGGCTGTTCCTCCTCTTCCTCATCAGCCACCTCCAGACCTGGGGGCTCTTGACTCTCCATCTGAGGGCTGACGGAGGCCCCAGGCTCTGCCTCTGCCTCTCTCTGCCAGCTCCACTCCCTCTTCCCCCTCGGACCTCTCAAGTTGCCTTGATGCTGACCATGGCTCCCACACTGCCTCCTCCTCCGATTTGGCTGCTGGGGAGGCCGGCAGCCGACAAGCCACAACACTTATATACAGTATCTGCATCTTGATATCTGACCCAGGTTAGTGTTAATTTTACAGCACTTATGCTCCCCTTGAAGACAGATGTCCAGTGACTGAGCAAAATAGGTAGAATGAAAGCACTCTTACTCCTCACAATTTAAAAACATCCTCATTTTAAGTCGACATAATAAAATAGCGTGGATAGAAGACTCTCCTATTCCAGCCTCTACGGAAAGACTATATTCCCCTCCCTACAACAATCCAGCAGATATGTAGATGAGGTTACAATGGGACATTATGAGCTGTACAAAAATACACGGCAGTTTTGCAAAAAAAAAAAAAAAATGAACTAAAAAAAATTAAAATCGCTAGACAGCAAAATAAGTCACCACTTTAAAAAAATGCAATGAAATTACGACGAATTGGCCACTTACCTTCTTCTTTTGCTTGACCTTGTCAAATATGAATGGTGAGAAGACACAGGAGGATGCTTTGTGGTCCTTAAAAATATAGTTAACAAGCGTCAAGTTTATTTGGAGGCATCAATTATTTTACAATAAAACAGCTTCTTTTTACCATGAGCTCAGATCACATAATTATGTTTCCAAAGAGAATTAAAACGCTTCCATCTATTACCAATTAGTTCTGTTTTGTATTTTTTTGGTAGTCTGCGAGGCTGGCCGATATTAAGAAACAAATGTTTAAATGCATTGTACGCTGAGGCGAGTGTGACAGAGAGTGTGAGGTGAAGTCCTAGCTTTCCATAAGAGGACACCTGATGTTGCTTGGAATTTGTCCCACCCTCCATCCTAGGATCCCTCAACAGGAACCATTAAAATAGCACTGAATGAGGGGGAATCTACTGCAGCTGCTTGCTGAGTGATGGAACCATAAAATCAACTCTGACAAGATGACAATTTGGCTTCCATCCAAGATCTGCAGTAAAGGAGAACTGACCACTTCATGATGTAACCTGCGAGGACTGACAGGTCATCAGGTCAAGCAGTTACGCCTGATACTTAGCCCTGTAATTTGAATCTATTGTTCTGGTCCTGCCCTCTGGGGGAACAGAAACTCGGTTCTCTTCTGTAGGCTAAACATACCCATTTTTTTTAAAAAACAACTGCTTGGTTTCCAGAGCTCTTGTCATCTTGAGAGTTCAGCTCTGAGCTGGCTCCATCATTATCATTTTTAAACAATGATTAAAGTGAGAACCACACACAAGAATTCTGTTATGCCCCAGCTCCCAAACACGACGAACCCTCTGCAGTTAAATAAATCTTTCCTTGATTTCTACTGGTCTCCTCTCCACTGCCTTCTGCACATCAGGCACTGGACCCGGCTGTTTGTTCTGACCGAGGCTCCACATGAGCACAAAGCAAACTCCTTGTCCTGACAAGAACCCCTTTTATTAATTTCCTGTGAATTCTGCTCATTCCCATCCAGCAAAGTCTTTCAGGGGAAGATTTACAGTCACAGACCTTATCCGGCTTGGAGAGCTGCCAGGCCTATCTCTGCAAAACCTGGCAAGGAGCCTCGGAGAGTCAAGAGCCAATTAAGCGAACTAATGGTCTCCTGCAAACTCCCTTTTCGCTCCTCTTTTATTTCCTCTGGGAGGGGCCATTCACCATCCACCTGTGGCCTTCCTCCCAACTCAACCCGTTCTCCAAGTCTTTCAAGATAGTTCACAATTACCGACCTTTATCAGGCTTGGAGAGTGGCCAGGCTGATAGCTTTTAGTGACTGTTGACTCTCCATACGACAGCTGACAGGACAGCCCAGGCTCTGCCTGTGTTTCTATCTCTGACAGCTTCATTCCCACTTGCCCCTCGGAGTTCTCAGGTTGCCTTGACGTTGGCCCTGACTCCCCTGCCACCTTCTCACCTGATTTGGCTACCGACTGACAGGCCACAAAAAACATCATGTGGGGTCTGACCAAGGCAGAGTAAAAAAAAAATTCTTTTTTAGCAGTTGCACCACACTGCTAGCTCACGGTCTAATTTGTGGCGAACATCCAGATGCTTTTCATTTGTGCCTACTGATACAATAAGTCTTCTTTATTTTTTATCTGTGCCTTCCTTTTTTTCCTACCTGGATGCAAATCTCCACATACACCCCTTTTAAGTGCCATCCTATTATTTTTGGCGTGTTGAATATTTTTCAGGCCTAGCCTTGATGCTGCTCTTGAGTGCCACTGTTCAGGGTGGCCTACTAGACGAGAGGGGAGTAGAAAATTGGTTCTCTTTTGTTCAGGGGATCAGGTGTGTGTGTGTGTGTGTGTGTGTGTGTGAGACCTCAACGGAGTCAAAAAAGGTGTTTTCCAAATTCCAAAGAGCCGAGGTGGCGCAGTGGTTAAATGCAGCACTGCAGGCTACTTCAGCTGACTGTAGTTCTGCAGTTCGGCTGTTCAAATCTCAC